TTAGAATCAGAGAACAATTCTTTAATTCACTCACTAAATGTTAAGGTTGGGAGGTAGACATGTGTTTTTGCAGTTGTTGTATTTTATTTATTTGCATTAATGCATTGATATTTAAAATGAATTTGAAATTGGTTACCATGGTTTTTGGTACTTTTCTTCTTATTCAATAGTCTGTAATGAGATCACCGTAAATATTATCCATTGTTACAGTTGTTATTTAAGGTAATTAAAATTGAATATATCATTTGAAGCAAACTCTTTTGTTGAATAGAATCCACTAGAATCATGATAAGGTCTCTGTGTTATTCTCTTATTCATCTGCTTCACAATTATTAAGAAAAATTTAGAAATCAATAAATACATGTAATTGAAATATACCCCCGCTAATGAATATTCTATTTTTGCAGTCTATAAATCAAGTTCGCATTCACGCCATTCAGTGTGCTGAAAAAAAATGTTCTATGCAAATGGCTTTATCGCTTCTCTTAAAAATCTATAAATAGTAATTCCAAAGTTACTAAGTTTTAGCATTAAATTTATCTACGTATTATCAAGAATACGTGTATTATTCTTTTTAAAAATCTATAGTATGCATGAAAATCGCCATAATTGGACTTGTTTGATACAAGTTATTTTTAATTACATGATTGATAAAACTAATGCGGAAGAAATTTATGGCATTTTATTGCATCATAAGATAACATATCATGTCAATGATGATAATCTTCTACCCTTCCATGTCTGAATAAACAGAAAATTATGCGAGACTGAACAATACACACCAAGGCTTTGATGATACCTAGTAATCGTATGAGAAACAAGTAAGGGAGCTAAGTCACAATTGTTTTATTTTATAAAATAAATCAATAACATTTTAGATCACCTTACAAACAGATGATATAAACAAATAAGGATGCCTGGATAAGTATTTTTGGATTACTTTGGTTGTAGATGTAAACGATGCATAGTAACAATAAAATTCTTTTAAGAAATATCTTCAACTTTCTAGGATGTTTAAAATTCTACCTTTCTGCAACCATCTTTATTAATCTTTACAGTATTGGGTCAATTCAAATCCGATTATTGTAAAACTTTGAATGAATACTAGTAACTAAAACACATGCGGATAATCTTATTTATTTTACTTATAAAAACATAAGACTTAAGTTTTAATTTTCAAGATTTTCGAATTCGAAAAAAAAAATTGTTTGTGTCATCTATCTATGGCACGCCAAATCCACAAAAATGAGCAAAACATAGTTTCACAGTCGATAAAAAATCCCGCAAATTCTTTACGAAAATTTAGTTAACAACGTTAATCTATATTTTACATCTGTAAACCATAGTTAACAAGAAAATCTATATTTCACAACCGTAAACTATACTTAACATCGAAAACAATCATTTGCGATTGCAAAAGATAGATTATCTGATAAATACAGTTTCACGAAATAACTATATATTTTAAATATAGTTTCACATTTGTGAAACTTTTTATGATATGTGAATTGTTTATCAACAAAATCTATTGTTAACGCTTTATTCAGACAGATAAACTTAGATTAGCACAAACTATAGTTAACGACTGTTAAATATAGTTTTATTTCTACAGTTTACGGTTTGTAAACTATAGTTTACAGTCGATCAATTGTGAAACTAGGTTTATCTCTTTTTTGTGAATTTGGCGTAAAAAAATCCTGCAAAATCATTTTTTTCAAGACACATGACTTTCATGTTTTCATGTTTCGTATTATATATTTTAACCTCCATTACTCTTTATAATGAAATCGATTCTATAGCTGAGCACCCTTTTTTGTTTCATTTTCCAAAGGTCACGTATTCGTATTGTAAACAAAAAAAAAAATAATTCATTTGGTGAGGGTATGCTCAGCTTACACTTGAAGGTGCTTTTGTTTTGGTGCTCTTGTTTCTTCACTGTAATATACAATGCGTTTTCCTCAATTTCTAGATGCAATAAGAGAGGACAACATTACAAAACACAAAAGAAAAAAGAACATTGTCAGTGTATGAATACATCTCTCTCTCTCTCTCTCTCGTTTTCTCTTAAAAAATCTAACAAGAATGTAATCGTTCTGACATGAAAAACAGTGAAAGATAAATTAAATTTCCGTTTCAGTCACCGTATGTTGTTGCAAGCCACGTTAATATATTCAATTGATAAGACGGGGTAGAGAAAATTGAATACAAACTGAAAATCTTTACCTGGAGGGCATATCTGTCTATGGTGTTGAGTTTTATTGAAAAACGCCTCCAAATTTAAATTTTCATGAGGCTACAGCGCAATCTTAGGACCGCAACGACATTATATGTCATAAATCCACCGGCTTAACGCATGAATAAAGTTTTGACAAATACGTGTTAATTTGACTAATTGTGAAAAACATATTAAATAACAGCCGCGGCCACCCATAAAATGTTCTCGTTTTAATGGATTTTTTTGATCATGAGAATAAAATTGTATGATTAATAATGGACAACGCACCCAGTATTAAATTGGAGAAGATAAGCGATGTGTGACAGATTCTGTGGGCTTTGAGGTTACATTGGTGTTTCGTATATCGAATTAATTTCAAAAAGAGAAAGCAAACCTTGAATCATAAAATAGCATGCTTTCCTCTTTATAAATATTTTTCGGTATGTTCATACATGACGCTTGGATGGAATTTGATTAAATTTACTCCATTGCATAATTGGAAACTACATGTACGTATCTCAATACTCATTGAGAAGTTGAAGGGGAGGGGGTTCGACACTCACATATATTCATAACCTACAAACCGTACATGTATAGATTTTAATGAAATAATACAAGTGTATCTAATAGGTAAGGGGTATATTTTTTTATTAAAAGGAAAATAAGTGACGCCAGGTCTAGATTTACATTCGTCAGCAAGGAGTGATCTAACTCCGAAACTCGCGATATTCATCATTTTTCTTCTTTTCATATGATCTTTGTAATAGATTGTAATCTTTCAAATCGAAATGGTAGACATAAGTTTTAAATATTTGTTTCTAATTATAATGAAAAATAATCAGTTTAACTTCAAATAAGTGTCCTCAATACATTATGGTTCATCTTGTCTTATTTCATTAGTCGAGACTGAAGAATACTAGTCTGTATATAAGACCATATATATGTTGACTACCAGGATATTAATTATAAGATATCCCTTCCACGCTGACCTGCTCAGCAGATGATCAAAATCATATTAATTTATCCCTCACTGTGACCTACTCATGATCATAATATCAAAATCATATAAACCTTATAAAATACTTTTATTGAAAGATATGGAGATCTAACAAACTGTATTCAAACTCAAAAGTCAATGAAACAATACAAATCAGGAGCAGAGCAAACAAGGACCTCTAAACCATCAAAGGTGGGATCAGATGCCATAAAGGAGTGAGCATGCCTTGTCGACCAGTTACACCCTCTTGTGCTCCTTGTCATGATCGGAAAATAACGGGGAAAAATTTAGTGTTTAAATAATGACCTAACACATAGATGTAGTATGAAGAACGTCAGACAGCATTTGACTTAATGATAGATTGTATTTACTGTCAGAGTCATTGTATCGATCATAGAACTTACGAAATAATGACTTCAAACAAGACTGTTGTCAGATACAATGTATTCTTGTTTCATCAACTTGTTTGTCACATGGCAATATGTGATAAAGATTCTGTGAAAGTTTCATCAAATTTCATTCAGTGGTATGAGAGGAGTTAGAAATTGTTCTCCCACTTTTCAAGCGGGGGGTATAATAATTTACCTCGATTTAGAAATTGTTCTTAGTAACATAGCATGCTGTTGCGTATTGAATCAACCGAGAGCTATAAATCCCGTATGAAGGTGATAAGACTATATTGCTGCATAAGTAACTAATATAAGGTAATAAATTAACGATTGAACAATTCAAGTCATCACGTTTATCATAAAGCTTTGTTGTTGCATTACATGTACCATTGACGTCTTTTTCCATTAAAATATCCAAATATGAAACAGATGTGTCAGACTGCATACTTTGTGGTATCTTTTATTTAAAGCTCATCGGGATATATCGTGTTGACATGTGTATAAATGGATGGAAATAACATTAGCCATAAGTGATTGTTAATTGACAATACGTCTCCGATATGTCTAAATGTCTATTTGAAAGCAACAGCAAGTGTTTTAAATTCTTCTTTTCGCGAATAAAATTTTGAACAAATACTGCTTCATATTCTCCTTCATATGAATTTAATACAAAATAGGTCAGCTAAACGGGCGCAATATTGGTACCATTCCAATTATAGATTGTTGGAAGACCTCAGTCTCCAAAAATCACATGCATATTGTCAATCAGAAACTCAAGCATATTTTATACAGACATCGCACCGGGGGTGAGAGGGGAGGGGGGGGGGGCTAAGCCACCGCTTTTTTTGCAAAGATGTAATATAATATCTACAGGCAGACATTAATTTTGGCTTAGCCCCCCCCTTTTTAATATCCTAACGACGCCTATATGTATAGGAAAGATAAAGAGTGGGACTGAGAGACATTCTATTCGTTTTCTCCTCGTTCTCGATGATGAGGGTAGGGTAAATCAATTCAAAAGTTTTTCGAAAGACAAATTAACGCAAGCTTCTATTACTAAATCTAAGTCAAGAATATTTATTTTATGCATATTTTTCCAAAGTGCGTTTTAAAAGTGTCTCCATTGTAAAATATTTTGATGTACACTGTTAACGCACTTTGATTTCTTTTCTCTAAGTGCGTTGATTTTGTCCAAATTTTAACGCACTTAATTTGATTTTTTTTTCAAAGTGCGTAGTTTGTTGCCACAGGGGTATTTATAGAAATTATGCATGTATATACAATATACATGTATATGCAAAGAGTCCTTGAAAAAATTCCACAATCATGGCCCACGTGCATTTGTGAAAATCGGGATTGTGTATGGGGGGGGGGTCCTTTGTTTACGGCTTTCCGGTTTAATATTTGTTTCCGGTTTCGGTTTTATTGTAAACTTTGCAAAGGACAAAATGGCGAGCGATGGCGTGGATATTGATTTGTACGACAATTTGGAAGAAGGATTTGATCAGGTAAACATCATATTGATCGAATATATGTCTACAGACAATGTTTAATGAAAATGCAAAAGTTTAACTATCGGTAATGAGGTAATATGCACGCATAATGTAGATTTCTGAACTTCCTGCATAAGCGACCAAGCGTGTCTTCCATGATTAGGCGGAAAGTCCATGCATGATTTCCAATGTTGTATTTTAAGTAAATAATTGAGAAAAAAAATGCAAACTTATTTTCTCAAAAGTATTTATAGGGACATTCTTAATATTTGTATCTATATGTCCAAATTAAAACCATGCCAGAGTTCTTGAAATCTTTTTCCACTCTCAGTCATTTGGACTGACTGCCACAGGTCCAGTACAATCAGTACATTTAGCTACGTAGGTAGAATTACCTACGTAGCTTTATTTACCTAATAGCTTTTTAGCTATTTCAATGTAACTTTTCTTTTTATGGAAAATAGGCAAAAAATCGCAGTTAAATGACTATTGATATTTATACTAGGTTGTCTTTAAAAAACAATCCAAAGCAGAGATAGTTTAAACATTGCTGTGTTTGGTCAATTTAGAGCAAAACATGTAATTCCATTGTTTGGTTATCTGTCCAAAAAATAAAAATTATCATGTTAACCAAATTTCATTCAAGAAACTGTCATACATAGCCCCAAAACTTTCAGAACTTTGATTGCAATTGCGCAGAAAAAGACATTTCTTCAAGAGGGAATTTTTCATGAATTGTTTTCACACGAGTTCAAAGTTGAAAATGATCAATGCATCAACATGATAGTTTTTGCACATCCTGAGAAAAATGCTTTTTTATAGAAATAAATTCATTTGGTAGCTAAATCAAGCTACCTAAGGTAGGTAAATAAAGCTACGTAGGTAATTCTACCTACGTAGCTAAATGTACTGATTGTACTGGACCTGTGCCATGTGAAGTTTGTGTCAGTCTAGACAGATTTCTATCAGCCCCAAAAAAAAATTAAATAAAAGATGAAAACTTTGTTTTTTATCAATACATTGTACATCATGTTTCAATAAACACTGCACACTTCATGCTGATTTGTTAGTCAATTTTCTTTTAATTATCTCGGGGGTCGGTTTTCTTCATAGGTTTTTAATCTAGTTTGATTTTCTCACTTGGCTTACCGTAGCACCATCAACAAACCTGCTTTATCAGTTTACTATTCATAGTTTGACACTTGCGTTCATTGAAGAAGCCATTACAAGATTGCAGAAAAGATTTTGAAAGATGACGATCAGACGTTATATGGAATTGGTACGAAATTTTGTCAGATTTTCGCAAGTTCCTCTGTCAACATTTACCGGTCATTTGGACTGACACAGAAGGCATTTGTAATTTAAAGTAATTGGTCCTTGGTTGTTTTTAGCAGTCTTGCCGACAGGACCGAAAGATTTCAAGAACTCTGCATGCAAATTATCTTTGGGCACATAGCAATTGCCTAACTCATTAACTGGTCATTAATATAATTAGGGCTTGAAACTAATTCTTTATGTTATCAGTCAAGCCAGGTATCACTTTAATTAGATAGGAGTATGGACTAATTTGATAAAATTTTGTCCACAAGGATAATTAGGATATTTTAATTTTTTTCATGTTCTGTACATTTGTTAATATTTGCTGATTGACTTAATCATGTTAATGGAAGATCACAGAGTTTTAAAGTTTTTTTTTTTTGGTGGTTAATTTGCAGAACAATTGTGTATTAATAATGATTTGAGGAGCTCTAAGTTAAACACGCGGCTATAAGTCATTGAACTTGAAGGTTAATTTGCTAAATGACAACATTTTCATATATCAACAATCAATATCTGTTGCATAAAGATAATTTCTAGAAATCAAAATGACTGTGTTTTCCTTTTATGTGCTAGACATCATTTTCCATCAAAATGGTAGTATGATTTTATCTTGCGATTGGTATAGAAAATGTTTTCCTGCTTATCAAAAGCTTAATCTGCTCTGACAATCACAGCCAGTTTATACACAATTCGAGATGTCATTTGTGATGTAGCCATTGCTGCAACGTGTGCATTGGCCGGAGATTGACCCTCTGGTTAATACTGTGAATACAGAGTATCATCATGTGTATAAACTATATGCATTTGTATAGATTATATTTTTAAAAAAAATGAAGCAAATGTGGCTTCAATTACTTTGAAATAAGAGTTAAAGAATATGGTTTCAGAAGCATGTTCCATTTGAGGGTGACCTAAGCACACACTTCTATTATTTTAAAAAATTTCTTAGTTGAACATTTTTAACTTAGGTTTTAATTTTCCCAGAGTTCTTCTGAATCTTGACTTGGTTTAAAAATGTAGAAAACAAATAATGAACAAAGTTTCTTTCAATTTATATTGTGTTTTTTATGTATTTCAGGAGAATGAATTTAATGCAGAGGATGATCTTTATAATGATGTCATAACAGCTCCCTCTAGTGGTGAAAACACAGAAACTGTGGTAAGATAACTAAAACTATTGGTCATTCACCGTCACTCTTCTTCATATGGGAAATAATGCTCAATATAAGTTTAGGTCCTAATTTTTTACTGATTATAGATTCTTTAGTGAATTTTGTAATTATGCCCCCCTTCGAAGAAGGGAGGGCATATTGCTTTGCTGCTGTCTGTCGGTCGGTCTGTCGGTCCATTAAGTTTCTGTTCATTTTCTTCGCAACCGTTGCACATACTGAAATGAAATTTGGTATACAGATATATCACATGAATATCTAGGTCAAGTTCTGTTTCGGGTATGATCGCACCATTTTTGACAGAGTTATGCCCTTTGGACTTAGAAAAATTCCAATTATTTGCAGTTTCCGTTCATTTTCTTCACATCCGTTGCTCATACTGAGATGAAATTTAGTATACAGATATATCACATGAATATCTAGGTCAAATTCTGGTTTGGGTACGTTCGTGCCATTTTTGACAGAGTTATGCCCCTTGGACTTAGACAAATTTCAATTATTTGTAGTTTCCGTTCATTTTCTTCAAAACTGTTGCACATACTGAGATGGAATTTAGTATACAGATATATCACATGAATATCTAGGACAAGTTTTGGTTTGGGTACTTATTTTTAAATTATGCCCCTTGGACTTAGAAAAATTCCAATTATTTGCAGTTTCCGTTCATTTTCTTCACATCCGTTGCACATGCTGAGATGAAATTTAGTATACGGATTTATCAGATGAATATCTAGGACAAATTCTGTTTTGGGTACAATCGTGCCATTTTTGACAGAGTTTTGCCCCTTGGACTTGGAAAAATTCCAATTTGGGGGGAGGGGGGCATAAGTGTTTTACAAACATCTCTTGTTTTTTCTAGCAACAGTCAGAACCAGTAACACCCACAAAGACCACACCGTCAGTGACTGTACCCTCTGGTTACACAGGAAGAAGGATCAGTCTCTATGTTGGAAACCTCACATGGGTAAGTTGTTGAAAATAATTATGCCCCCCTTCGAAGAAGGGAGGGCATATTGCTTTGCTGCTGTCTGTCGGTCGGTCTGTCGGTCCGTCGGTCTGTCGGTCCACTTAGTTTCCGTTCATTTTCTTCACAACCATTGCACATACTGAAATGAAATTTGGTATACAGATATATCACATGAATATCTAGGCCAAGTTCTGTTTTGGGTACGACCGCACCATTTTTCACAGAGTTATGCCCCTTGGACTTAGAAAAATTTCAATTATTTGCAGTTTCCATTCATTTTCTTCAAAACCATTGCACTTACTGAGATGAAATTTAGAATACAGATATATCACATGAATATCTGGGTCAAGTTCTGTTTTGGGTATGATCGCACCACTTTTCACAGAGTTATGCCCCTTGGACTTAGAAAAATTTCAATTATTTGCAGTTTCTGTTCATTTTCTTCACAACCGTTGCACATACTGAGATGAAATTAAGTATACAGATTAATCAGATGAATTTTTAGGCCAAGTTCTGTTTTGAGTACGATCGCATCATTTTTCACAGAGTTATGCCCCTTGGACTTAGAAAAATTTCAATTCTTTGCAGTTTCCGTTCATTTTCTTCAAAACCATTGCACATACTGAGATGAAATTTAGTATACAGATTAATCAGATGAATATCTAAATCAAGTTCTGTTTTGGGTATGATCGCACCACTTTTTACAGAGTTATGTCCCTTGGACTTAGAAAAATTTCAATTATTTGCAGTTTCCGTTCATTTTCTTCACAACTGTTGCACATACTGATATAAAATTTAGTATACAGATTTATCAGATGAATATCAAGTTCTGTTCTATGTACTATCATGCCATTTTTGACAGAGTTTTGCCACTTGGGCTTGGAAAAATTCCAATTTGGGGGGAGGGGGGGGCATAAGTGTTTTACAAACATCTCTTGTTTACTGTTTTAAATTTTCTCTAGACTATATTGAAGTTTTTTAGAAAATGACTAAAAGTCCATGTAAAATTGCAAGCACAAATTATTTTGTGTGCTTTTCAAAAACCTTTCATAATAAGGAATATAATTTTATTACTAAAAGTCAATTAAGAACCAATATTCAAGTGTATTCTGAATATTTTCTTCAAATATAACATGTATACAGTTTGTATCATTTCAGTGGACAACTGATCAAGATCTTATTGATGGACTGGCAGCTATTGGGGTCACAGACTTGGTTGAGATAAAGTTTTATGAAAACAGAGCAAATGGCCAGTCCAAAGGGTAGGTTGTTTTCTTAAATAACTGCATTTAGATTAAGTTACCTGTAATGTTAAATAATGATTAAGTTTCCAGAAAAAAAGGGATGATTATCACTTGATTTAAATTCTGCTCCAAACTTTATCTATACCCTCCCCAGATAGTTACACATATTTGATAGATATTAAATGAGTTGTGCATAAAGACATATTTTGTACATATGAAGTAAGTTGAGTAAACATTTGTTTAAGGCTGAGCATAATTTAATCTTTCAGATTTGCAGTGGTGGTAGTTGGTTCAGACAACTCATCTCGTTTGATATTTGAGAAGTTACCAAAGAAAGAGATCCATGGGCAGGTGCCTCAGATCTCCAACTGTAATAGGCAGGCCTTGAGTCAGTTTGAGGCCCAGGCTCGGAAGGGAGAGCCTCCAGCACAAAATGGTAGGGGACTGTTACAGTCTATTATTAGGTCACCTGAGTAAACTCAGGTGACCTATTGCCATCTGTTTTTGTCCGTCGTCGTCCGTCGTGCGACGTGCGTCGTGCGTTAACATTTAAACATTTTCAGCTTCTTCTCTGAAACCACTGAACCAATTTCAACCAATTTTGGCATATAGCATCTATGGGTGAAGTGGAACAAAAATTGTGAATTTCGTGGTCCCAGCCCCCTGGGGCCTGGGGGGTGGGGCAAAACCCACTCAAATTAGTGCAATCTTTAAAAATTTTCTTCTTTACTCCCAGACATCAAGCAGTCAAATTGTTGGTATGATTGTAATCAGCATTGAGTCCTCTACCAAAATTGTGAAATTCATGGCCCCAGGGTCAGGGGTTCTGGTGTTAGGGCGGGGCTCTATTGATTATATACTGAAAATGCATTAATTCTTTGAAAATCTTCTTCTCTGCTACTGGGAATTAAATAAACAAATTAAGTTCATAGTTATGATGAGCAGGAGTGGCTCTACCAAAATTGTGAATTTTATGGCCCCAGGGTCAGGGGTTCTGGTGTTAGGGTGGGGCTCTATTGATTATATAGTGAAAATGCATTAAATCTTTGAAAATCTTCTTCTCTGCTCCTATGTATTTAATAACATAACTAAGTGCATAGTTATGATGAGCAAGAGTGCCTCTACCAAAATTGTGAATTTCATGGCCCCAGGGTCTGGGGTTCTGGTGTTAGGGTGGGGCTCTATTGATTATATAGTGAATATGCATTAAACCTTTGAAAATCTTCTTCTCTGCTCCTAGGTATTAAATAAACTAATTAAGTAAATAGTTATGATGAGCAAGAGTGCCTCTACCAAAATTGTGAATTTCGTGGCCCCAGGGTCAGGGGTTCTGGTGTTAGGGTGGGGCTCTATTGATTATATAATGAATATGCATTAAATCTTTGAAAATCTTCTTCTCTGCTCCTAGGTATTAAATAAACTAAATAAGTAAATAGTTATGATGAGCAAGAGTGCCTCTACCAAAATTGTGAAATTCATGGCCCCAGGGTCAGGGGTTCTGGTGTTAGGGTGGGGCTCTATTGATTATATAGTGAAAGTGCATTAAATCTTTGAAAATCTTCTCTGCTCCTATGTATTAAATAACATAACTAAGTGCATAGTTATGATGAGCAAGAGTGCCTCTACCAAAATTGTGAATTTCGTGGCCCCAGGGTCAGGGGTTCTGGTGTTAGGGTGGGGCTCTATAATGATTATATGGTGAAAATACATTACATCTATGAAAATCTTTTTCTCTATGAACTATTTTCATAGTTATGATGGGCTCTTCTTTCCAGAATTGTGAATTTCAAGACCCCTGGGTCAGGGATACCAAAATGGGGAGGGGGGCTCTACTTATACTAAAAATGAATTGATTGAAATCTGCTCCTTGGTATCAAACATTTTTGATAAGCAAGTGTGCCTTTTCAAAAATTGTGCAATGTGTAGACCTAGGGTCAGAGGTTCATGTATGGTAGGAGCACTCCTGATTATTGCAGAATATTACTGATTAGTTGACATACTTTTTTTGTTCCCCTACCCTGCTTATCGGTATTAAGTAAACAAACTAAAAAATTGCTAAGTGTATAGTTATGATTAGCAGTGGTGCGTCTGTCAAAATTGTGAATGCCATAGCATCTAGCTTAAAACATGAACCAAATTCAATCATTTGAAAGTTGTTGCATGATGCTCAGGTGACCTATAAGGCCCATGGGCCTCTTGTGTAATTTAGAATATATTTCTATAATCAAAGATCTAAAATACCATTTGATTGAAAATAATGTTGATAAAGATTATTTGTTGGCTTTAAAAAAAAGTTTAATTGTTGGGGGGGGGGGGGGGGGGTAAAAAGTTAAATGAATGATGCTGAACTTTAAGAATAGGCCATCCTTAAAAAAATGTTTGTTTGGAATTGTCGCCTGAAGGGTTTCAGAAACAGGAGGGAGGGAAATTATTATTTTTTTTTTAATTGAAGATAAATTTAAATTTTTGATAAAAATCTCAGTAAACAGTAAATACATTTTCTGACTTAAAAAAAAAAGTACCTACCATCAACAAAACATCCCTTATTTCACATAGATCTGACACTATATTTCAGTGTTTTGTATGGTGCGTGTGATATATGTAATGGGCAAAAAAATTGATTGAATAAAAAAAATCTTCCTACTTTTGGTCAATAATATATTTTCAGGAGGGGGCATTTCAATGAGGCGGGAGGCAATTCCAAACAAACTGTAATTTTATTTTGGCCATATGAATTTATTGTTTGGAGGAAAAAAAGGAAACATTGATTGTGCTGAACTTTGTCAAGATTTATTATGTAATAATGTTGATTTTCAGGAAACACAAATAAAGGAAGTCATCAGCGAAGTCACAGTCCCTCAAGACAGACACCTAAACAGGGATACGTGAATCGTCAACAGAGGCCTACTGGTCCCCAGGTATCTGGTCCCCCGCCAACCGGCCCTCCTCCTACTGGGGCCCCCATGATGCCAGGTTAGAGAGTTTACTCCATTTGTCAATAAAACTTGTTATTCCAATCCATAGAATAGTTATCATGGATTATCAGTTAAATGTTTTAATGATTGAGTCAACTCTTTTAAAATTGCGTGTTTCTTTGCCAATTCAATAATTGGCATATTTCTTCAGAAATAAATGCATTTCGTATAAAAGAAAAAGGGTTGAATTCCAAGGATTATAATTGTCTTTGTGATTAGGTATGCCTCCAGTGTCTGGCCCCCCTCCCCAGGTGCAGTTTCCTCCAGGTTTTCCTCCCAGAACTCTTGGTCCTCCCCCTCCTGTTGTAAGTACTATAAAAAAAATTCTTGGATTCCTTCAAGTCTGCACTTAAAAATTTACAAAAAATGCATGTTTTATTTGTCTGATGGTAACTATATTTTCAAGTGTATTTTTATTATGCAACTTGAACCTTAAATGTTATAATGATTTATGCATGTATTATTCATTAAAGATGATGAGAGGTCCACCACCACCCATTAGGGGGCCACCACCAACAGATCCCAGGGGACCACCACCTCGTTCAGAGTGGGACAGACCCCCAGGTCCAGGTATGTCAAATATTGACGTAGTTCCATCTCTCTTTTGGCAGGATTTGATTTCTATGTTAGGTACTTTTAGTGGAACATTGATTAAAAGCAATGAAAAAGGTAAGCCTTTAGGTTATAATAGACACAAAAAGAAATTTAGAAGAAAACATAAAATTGTGTTATGAGGGTCTTATTTGATTGATTTAATTTTTTAAACTGGAAAGCTAAGTTTTAATTTCTTTTGTAGTTGCCTATGTATTGTAATTCATTAATTTCTGTCTTCTTTCACTGAATCTTCATATCACATAATTGAGCTTTTACTAACAAACCTTGTCGTATTAATCAAGCAAAGATTGATTTTGGCATGCCTATTGCACACAATTATGTAAATCAGAGTGAACAATAACTGCAGGCTGACTATCAAATCTCATTTACCTGGATTTTAACTATGCCATGCTGTCAGAATACTGATTCAATAGTGTACATGTATAACTATTATAATATATATGCATTTTCATGGTTAAAGGAAGATAGGGATATTTTTAATTTTTGTCAAAAATTTCCAAGAAATTTTTTTTTTATAAAAGTTGTTCTCAAAAATAATTTTGAACTTGAAAATCTAGACACGATTTGATCGAAAGTGGTGGTGATGACTTCTATATTTGTTTTTGGAGAGTAGTTGGGGAGTTTTCTTTAATGTTGTGTTACTATTTATAGATCTCTTAACTCAGCCTCCACCTCCAGGCAGTAAGTTAATGCCCTCTTCAGCAAAATCTTATAATTTCTGTATACAGCTTCATGAAAATGGAAAAATAAATGATGTAGGAGTCATAATAACTTTCTTAATGTATTGAAATGAATTAAGAAGCTGTATTAAGAAATTATAGCAAGTCATGTCCCTTTCCCAACATCTTTGTTAAAGACATAGATGTATAATGATAAAAGTAATGGTGTTGGAACTGGCTTAAAGGGAAAGCATGTGCTAAGATTTGCATGAACCGAAGTGTATGTTGCCTGTGTATAGGTTAAGACTTATGGAGAAGGGTGATGAAGTTTTTTTTTTTAAAAAAATTAAAAATCTCCTGCCCAGTACTTAGATGGCATTTCTAAAAATTTTTCTTTTTATTTTTTTTTTTTTGTTTTACTTTTTTTTGAAAATCTTTGAAATGAATATTAAAATGCTGAAACTGGATATATCAGTCACAATCTTGGATTTGTTTCCTCAAATTCAAAGAATTGTCAACTTCAGAGTATTCTGATGAGAGTAAAAAAATTTGCCAGGATTTTTTTCTCTCTGATGTTTGTTCCGATATATAAATATATGTATCAAAATGAAATATTTCAAGGGCTTACTGGGGTTGTTGCTTCTGGTGACAAAAGATATTTTAATGAGAACTAAGTATAGACATTGATTAATGCAATATTGCATCACTTGTTATGTTATACTGTTATACTCAACTGTTGTTTGGTTGCTGCATTATCTTATTCATTCCATTCCATGTAATGGACACAGAATTTTAGATATCAGAATAATATTTTTTTTTCATTGCATGCCTGAAATTTATTATGTACATGTATGATTAAGGGTGTATATATGATAACTGTCATAGTAACATCTATGAAAACACTAAAACTTGCACCTCTTTACATGCCAACTTAACCATGTAGTTCTGTATAATGATTTTGTTCCTTTCAGCACCCTACCCTCCACTTGGCCCCCCACCAGGACCCCAGCCGGTCCCTCCCCCAGGAGCCCGACCGCCAGGACCTGGTAGGGCATTTCTTGTCAATTTCTCACTAATTTTAGAAAAAAAGTCTGTTGTAAATGACTAAAACACTCACTTTCTAAGTGTATAAGTGAATACAAGTGTATGATTTTATTTTTATGTTAAGTTTTTAAAGTAATTTTTATGTTTGTTTACAGGGATGCCACATCAGCAACCGCCAATGTCAATCCCCCCACCGGGTCACCCTCCAGCCCCAGCCCCACATGTCAACCCAGCGTTTTTCCCTCCCCAACATGGTGGACCACCCCCAACTATTGTAAGATCCATGATTTTAAAACTGTTTTGTTAAATAGTTGAATGAAATTCTTTAAAAAAATGAATATGGTGCTTACAAAGAAAAAAATCAATTATTTTATAAAGGAACAATTTCCATGTTCATTTGTAAAATTGTTATTGCAACTACTCCTTAAAAACAAATACTGAATGTTCAGAGGATCATAATGCAACCTTTGTTTTTAGCCCCACCCTACACCTGGACATCATGACCCTTACAGAGCCCCACCCCCTGTCTCGTATCCAAGTGACCATTACTCTAGGCCCCCAACAGAAAGGTTTGTTTTGTACTTGGAGGACTAGTGGTCCATGATAACATAATATAACCTCTTCTTATCCGTTTTTCCAAATTGTTTAAAAATTTAATATCTTATGTGACACAGCATTGGAAAAATGTTCTGAATACTTAATTTAGCTGTTTGATATTTTTCAGAGCTGAGCCACAGTCTCCAGCCCTCAGTGAACAAGAGTTTGAGGAGATATTTCAAAGAAATAAGACGGTGTCCAGCAGTGCCATTTCAAGAGCTGTTCAAGATGCTAGTGCAGGTACCCCAGAATGTATTTCTAACAGTCATAACAATATAAATCATAGACATGCCTTATTTCAATAGCTACTCCTTTGATTTTCAGTTGTTTGAAAATGTTCATATTCATAACACTTCTTTAACTGCTTGATTGATACTTGATTATTCTTAGTAATAGTAATTTGTACCAGTGCAGTTGAAGTTTAATAAGATCCAACTAATGTTCATTAAATCAGAATTATTTCTCTACGAATGTTTTTACAAGTAATTTGTTTTTTCTCATTGGTTTGAAAATCACCTAGTGTTTATGTGTTTTGCTTTGCAGGTGAATTTGCGAGTGCAATTGAGACTCTGGTGACAGCCATATCTCTGATAAAACAGTCAAAGATTGCCAGTGACGATCGCTGTAAAATCCTCATCAGTTCACTTCAGGATACTCTTCATGGAATCGAGGAAAAATCTTACGGATCAAAGTAAGGATGCATATTTGAAATATATTTAAACTAGATATGTGTATCGATAGATTTCGGGTAAATTAGTATATTTTATTTAACAAGACAGTGTTCTTTAGGATTTTCTAAAGCTAGTTACTAATTTAAAGAAGAAAACATATATCCGTGTGTGTTTTAAAACTGAAAAGGCACAAGTTTTCATCACAGATATTTTTTTTAACTAGAGATGTACTTTCAATATGTAAAGAAGTTTCAAAGACACACTATAACATATACCTGTAATACAATAAGAAAAAGTTTCAGCTGCATAATGAATTCTTGATGTACTTTGCTTAAAGGAGCAGCAGTAGAAGATCCCGATCAAGAGAGAGAGACAGAGAGCGAAAAGAAAGAAGTCGCAGCCACAGGTCAAGAAGCCGAGACAGAGAGAGGGAGTATCGCGAGAGGAGCCGAGAAAGAGATCGCCATTATGAGGCTGAGTCCAGTTCTTCATCCTCTCGATCTCACCGGGACCGAGATCGCGACCGAGACAGGGACAGGGAGAGAGAGTACAGTAGCAGACGTCACTAGATTGACTTTTACTTGGTAAGGATTTACAGAAAGTTTCCATAGTTTCAACTAATGCCTTTCGTTTTCAGGTTTTCTAACCAGCAGGTACTGCAAAGGTGATGAAAATTATGAGGCTGAATTGCTAAGAATATTTCTACCCATGAAATGTTGCATGCTTTTGTTCATTAATCATTTTCTGTGTAATATTACTGTCATTCTGTCAGTACAATTTCCACTTAGTGTCCTTTGAAGTAATGGTAAAGAAGGTAGGTGCTAGGGTGTTGAAGATATTGTTAAATAGAAATTTATTTCTTTAGTTTTAAATCATTACCTTTCTTTTTGCAGATGTAGAAATAGAGGCTACTCTTTTCCTCACCGATGGTGCTTTTTGTCCCATAATTCAGGAATATCCCATTAAAAGTGATTGAAAAAAATAGGTTTATCTGCCCATAGAATAAGATGTAAACCATACAATCAATGTTAGAGATATTCTACTGTCCATCTAAAAATATATGCAATCTGCATAATGACATAAAAACTTGTGAAAAGGTGGAATGGCTTTAAGTCTTTTACAATAAAACATGCTTATGTTGAAGTGCCAGGGACGAGCTATTTTGAAAAATCTCCTTTTTATAAGGGTCAATTCATTGAAAGCATGTTTTACTGTTTTATTATTAAAAAGAATAATAATACTTGTGCTTTCAAAGAAGTAAACAGCCTATTTCAACAAAGCAAAGATAGAAAATGTATTCTGCAAGTAGACATTCCAAATGAAAACCATTCCACTTTTGTTGATCTTCATATTAAAGCCATTCCATCTCAAATGCAGTCAGTTTTTGGAGAAATTAATGTCAGACTTATTCACTTTGATTTATGGATATACTTGCCCTAAGTCAAAACTTTGACTGAGTGTTGTTTTTAAATTTACCAAAAAAATTTCCAAGCAATATATATTACAAATTTTATATGGCATTATCATCCAAAGGATGTCAATTTCACCATAAGATATGCTGAGTCTTTCATCAGTATGTATTTTACATAGAGAAATATTCTGGACTCTTTACATCCAGAATTTTTAACTTTTTTTTCTTTGCCCAAAATGTTTTTATATTTATTTTTTATTTGTCATTTATTTATTATTTAAGGTGTATTCTTTATCCTCTTGCATTTTATATGCTCATTCTTTCACATGTGCCAAAGCAGAGTAACAAAACATTTTATCCTTGCATATTGCATATCAATGTTTAAACGTAAGATATAAGATTCCCATGTGCAAATCTTTCAAAGCACCCAGAACATGTTCGAATTGAATATAAATACATATTGAGGGATAATTTCAATAGTGAATGTGTTTGTACATGTACAGTATAAGTAATATTTATGAGTTTCTTTTAAATCTCCCTGGCTTTGGAAATCAAAATTCAAGATTATATTTTAAATTTGAAATGACTTTAATATGCCAGATTTCTGTTGTTCCTTGTAATTCTTGATGTATTCAAAAATCTGCTCTCAAAATATTTAATGGGTCACCAATTTAAAAATAATGATAAGTGAATTAACAACTATTGCATTCTTTAATCCATGTATACAGCTGAAAAAAAATAACTTGTGAAATTAGATTATGGAGGTATCCATTGCAAAGTTTCTGTATTACTGAATACTGGTAGATATATAAAAACTTTAAGTGACACATATAGCACTAGTTTAAAATCTGATGGATATAGTCATGTTGTAAAGTTTTGATGACACTTGTGAAAAGAGGGGTTGTACCCAATACTGGAATTGGTTGCTATTTGTAGTATTTCCTTTTGTAAACTGTTTAATTGTAAGCAAGAATTTAAATGTGTAATGTGTCTGTAAAAGACATGCATATCATATGGGGGTGGGGCAGATCTTCCAAAGGTAAGTGAAATGGTAAGTACTTAAAATAATTGTTTAAATAAAATATATTAGAATGAAATTTTAAAAAATTATACAAGAATATTTTAATATGCCAAAACTTTCTTTTCAGGGAAATTAAAATGTATTCATTGTTCAATATGTTATTTTGAATATGATTTGATGTGCTGTAAGAGATTTATGTATGAATAGCATATTGAGTATTATGAAAAGCATGTTATGTTGTCATAGTTTTGTTCATGATCAAAATTGACATTGAAGATTAATACCAATTAACACATAACCATCTTACTTGTGCACCATGTTGAATTAAGTTCATAGCACCAATAGAAATTGCATTATAGATTTCACAAGACATCTAAAAAAAGACAAAATTTGTAAGATTTTTATTGGTGCAACATTGCATTGATTCATTGTGCAGAAAATATCATATTCAAGGTGTTCATTAAATCAATGTTTGTTTGCCCTCTCTCTCCAAACTCAGGCTTGGTAGATGATAATTTTTTTTTTTTTTCAAATATTTCATCAATCTTGAATTTTGTCCAACAAATATATACAAAAAAGAAAGGTATGAACAAATTTGAAATATTGTTAAAATAAAATGAATGAGAAAATTTGGAATGAATTGAAAAAAGGGTATTGTTGCCAGAAAACATGAAAAAAAAAAAAATTCCGGAGTCTAGGTGTTTTAACCAATTGGTTGGGAGAGAGTAAATTTTTTAAGGAAGAGCTAATAATCTTTTTTTTTTTTCAGCAAAATACCTTCGTACAGTATACATTTGTATTATATGCACTGCAATTTTTCATTAGAATGTACATTGTCCCAGATAATGTCAAGCGTGAACAGGTATTAATGTTTACAGTTAATGTAAGTTGTTAACAATTTTCTTTGATTTATATGTACTGTGATATGTCTTGATTGGAATTCATCATCTTCAGGCTTTTTTTGTAGAAAATTCTTAGCCCTGAAAAATTGCAGTGGGTTGCATTTATAATTTGTAGTTAACTGTGAATTACTATATTTGAACTTTTCTTGCAGGTAATTCTTAGTTTGGAAGACCATTTTGTATTATTTAAACAAAATGTCGCTCTACAGGTTTAATATACGCAAACCTTGACTATAAATGAATACATACATTTACCATGTTTCTTAGTAAACACCAATTTATTATCGAATTTAATGAATTTTTATTTAATTTTTTGCAAGTTGCATTTTTGTTGCACTGTGTTGCAACATCATTTGTTTCAGTAAAAACTGAAATGGTTGCTGTCATTTGATTCCTGTTTCAAATAACAAGTCCTAAAATTCGTAATAGAAAGTCCTAAGATATTTTTTGATTTAATTTTTGCAAGTTGCATTCTGTTGCACTGTGTTGCAACATTTATTTCCGTAAAAATTGAAATGGTTATTTTTTTAGATTCGTATTTATATAGTAAGTCTCAAGAGCGAATATGTTATCAAGTTTAAAATGAAGTGGCAGGTGAGAAAGGATATACATTAGTTTCAGTTTTATAAATTCAATTGCATGGTTGGCAAATTTTTTTCAATGTTTTTTTTTTGTCCACTAAAGATGTAGAAAAGAGAGTCTAAATGATGTGAAAAAAGTTTTATGCAAATTGTAAAGATAAAGTAAGATTTAATAGATCCCTAAAATGCGGAGAATACTGTTCAATATTGAAAATTTGAAATCGGGATTTAATTCTAGGAAATGAGACAGATTTAGTTTGCAATGCTTGATTTAAAAGGATAAAGGGGGTTGTGAAAGTGTTTTGAATAATTTTACAAGAATTCTAGGAAATGTTATAAGTTTTTCAAATTATTTAGAAAATTGCGTGCTTCTTTGTTATGTGTTTGCTCGTGTTCTGGTCTCTTGTAAATTCAAAGTAGTCAACTTCATAAAAGTATTGCTTTGACTGTAGTAAGTTTTGGACTTTAAAGTTCTGTTTGACAATTTCTTTAAAAAAATCTTTTATGGTATTTGAATGGAGTGAAAAGTTTGTGTTTTTGATTTAGACATATAGAATATGAGATGAGAAAGTGAGAAACTTGTTTGAAACTTGCTTATATGCTATTTCATTTGCTTTAAAGTTTTGTGATGAACAAGAATTAAGGTTAATATATTTAACAAGATAATAAATCCGGTATTAAAACTACGAGTGTGTTATGATGGGAGAAGGATGCAGTATGAATGTCAGTAAATTTAGTTTTGTACCATGTTAGATTGCAAGATGGGGTATTTTATGTCCACCTGCTTAAATGATAGTAGATAATTGCTTTAATTTTATTTATATATTAGATACTTCTTATGGTCATTGATAAGCTTGGTGTTTGATTAATTTTGTAAGGTGTTTTGATGTATGTTTCAGTTTTATGTTGATCAAATTTCTCAAAAACTTTCTAAAATCTTGAAACTGAAGCATAGAATGAAACATATCGATATGTTTTGTACTTTCTTTATCCTTGAATACTGTATTTGATATAATAATGTTTGTAAAAGTAGATATGCACTTTCGTTGGTATATTTTTGAAGACATTCTTTACTGATAAAAAAAGGAGAAACATTCATTCTTTATTGAAAAAAGGAAAGTCAAAGTGTCATTTATTATTTGTTAATTATAAATATTTATATATTGAAAAATAAAAAAAAAGTGCTTTGGTGCATATCTACTGAAAAACTATGAACTAAGATCAATGGTTACCTTTCTTTTCGTCTTCTCTTTGTAGGTTTATGTCTGGATGTGTCAAGCCAATCCTTTTAATGTAAATTCTACTAGTAGCCACGCCTTCATTGTTTTTGCGTCAATATGTATCATGTATATTTTAATTTGTTCACTTGGATATCACATGGAGATTTTAATCATTGAAACTTCATCTTCATCGTTGTGAAATCATCATTGCGCCGATGGAAAAGTGATTAGAAGATGGATTTACAGAATAGAAGAGGATTCATTTTTCCAGGGATCTACTTTTGGAATGAAGTGCATCTGGATATTGCCACGTGTTATAAAATAGCATTTAAATAAATATGTTGTAAATAATCTTTTTTCCCTTTCTTTTATTTGTGTTCATGATGCAGTAACACATTTAAAGTACATTTGTGAGAGACAGACACTCTACATGGAAAAAGTCCTATGATCGTTTCCTATCAATTTAGTCTATTTATTTTGTATTGAAATGACAACCACGTGTCAATTATAGAAGAAGGAACAATACTTTTTCTGAGCCGTGAACAGTTCCTTAAACATTAAAAATTTAGATTTTTCATAGTCCAAAACATAGGATTGAAATTCTTAAAATGAACAAATCCATTTATATAAAGTTGACTTGACACTGGTATATCCAAATTGAGCTTGAAATAAAAGATATATGGTCTAACACATTTATATTGAGATATTGCAATAAAAGACATGGTATTAGACCAAAAAAAAAAAACGGAAATTTTTCTATCTTGAACTTTCCTTTCCTTATAACCTGCATATGGGTATACATACATGAATGTCTCCCACATTGATTGGAAAGATGAGACCATGACCTACGTTTGAACAACCACTCGAAAACCATTGTCAACCTCGACTGCGCCTCGGTTTATATTGGTTTGTGGTGAAAATTTTCAGTGTTACACTCATCTACATGCAATGTTTAAATAACATCACCCGTGTCCTCATGGTGCAGGGTATATAATTTTTTTTGTTCTTTGTTCGTTATTTTAAATTATAATTGAGAGCGCGGGAACATTTTATCTCCATATTATTTTAATTTCTTTGTAAACGATCCGAAAGATAAAAACTAAATTTTGCTTAAATCTTTGAACAGTCAAAGAAGAAAAAGAAACTTTTGAGAAGTTGTACGGTTAATGTTTTATGTTTCCAAATACTAACTTGGCTTGTTTGACTAGCACCTTGGTGTTCTCTTTAGATTTATACATGTCATTCTTCTCAACTTTTTGGGAG